ACAACACAGTTTTTAGGTATTGATCAGTGTAGCCTGTGTAGGGTTTGATCCTTTTACAACACAGGTTTTTGGGTATTTAAGTTACTTTCTATGCTAGTCAACACTAAAATTCAAGACTGTCCTACCAACTTCATGGCCTTAGTATAGTTTGAACGATAGATAGGTCTTTAGTTAGGACGGCATACTTTTCACTTAGATATGAATATTTATAAAACAACATAAATATAAGCCTGACAATTGAATTGATAGTTTATGTATGTATTTTGTTTACATAGTACGGCGAATTCACCAGTCTAAGCTGTCTCGCACAAAAAATTGTGTTGTTCGAAATCCATCAACTAAAGTAGCTCGGTAATCAATTCCGTCAAGTCCTTAAGAGCCATGCTTCATGCTTGGGTACAAGATTTCTAAAAAGAAAAAAAAAATCTAATTCATTTTTAACCAATTAATTTTTTAATTCAAATCTAACTTAACTTTAACTCAATCCGATTCTTCTTAGTATATCAATATAATTAAATAACAGTAAATCATTGTACACATTACCTCAATTTTAATTTACTATTTATCTATTCATATAATTTTAACTAATCGATCACTTTACATCATCTATGTCCTACTTTTGATAATAATATTATTTTATTAACTTTTTGGACCCAAATCCTATTTTCGAATAAGCTCAACAACGTTTTGGAAAGAGTGGTTTCAGAAAATGACAATTGGACGTCATAGTTATAATTTTTTGCTATTTACCACGACAAACTGCTAATTGAATTCATTAGTCAAGTCACCTTATACCATCAACTATTACTTATTCGCTAATACAATCAGCCATCACTATTCACTATCAATTAATTGCCAATCATTACTGATTTGATGGGAGTTTACCATACAATGCATGGTGAGTATGTAGCCGAAAGAACACACGACTTCTATACTTATATAAAAGACATCCTATTTATTAGAAATAGTAGGCAGAAAAGTCAAAGTCAATTAATGTTTGCTGGAAATAGAATGACATTAATTACAGATTTGTTTTGGTATTTATAGGCTTGACATTTAAGATTCGTTATGGGATAAAATTTTTTTTACTTTGCTGGAAAAGTCAAAGGTAAGTATAGATATGTTTTATCCCATAACATCGGTTTAGTTAAAAAAATCCCATAAAATCATGATTAAAATCATAATAAAAATCATGATAATTAAGGAACTTTTGTAACTATAATAAAAACATAACAAAACAAAAGAATCATAATGACGACATTGTGATTAATCTATAAAATTGCAAACATGTCAAATGGCGCCATTACTTTTAATCCAAAAAGAGTTTAAAAATGCAAATATAGATAGATTTTTTTAAGAGAATCTAAACGATCTTAAGATTCCCAACATATGAAACGTGTATGCATAAAAATCTCATTCCTATGAAGATAAACATATTTCAATATGTACATATATCATAAATATGAGAAGAAAATTATGTTTCTTTTCATGGGAGGTAATTAAGTTTTCAATGTTTCAATATATATACAAAATTTTAATTAAATTTCTAAACAATCAATGTTTAAACTAAATGATAAATGATTTATAAATCTACATTTTATTTAAATATGTATTTTCATTTATATTAAAAATAATTTTAAATGTAACAAAATTTATTTCAAAAATATCGATATTTTCGATGGACTGGTGTTGACCGGTTTGCTAGCAAACATTTTATTCAAGCGAACCGGATTGGTCGATAAACCAATTCCCTATTCATCCGGTCAGAGTACTGTCCGGTCTGGTCCAATTTTAAAAACAATGGGTAAATCATGATTAATATTATATATATATTTAATTTATAATACAATCGTAATATTATTTACCCGTGCATTGCACGGACCACGTACTAGTAATATATTAACAGTGGCTAACTGGGCAATTTCGTATCTATACTTATATAAAAAGAGATTCTATTTAATACATTTACTATCCAGAAAAGTCAACTGCATTAAATGTCATTACTATTTTGGTATTATAATATTTTATTTATTTAATTGATTTATTTATTTATTTTATTTTAAAAAAGTAAGTATAATAAAAAGATTTTAATAATAAAAAAGCCAAATACCAAATAAAAATGTACACTTTGACTTATTTGATTATATTTGGTATTTGATTATACCAGATATATTCCTATTTATTATATACATTAAATACTTACTAAAGTATTTATTTGTTTTATTTGTCAAAGTTAAGTATAGATTTGTTTATATTATCAAATCATAAAAAAATATTAAATCCATATTGTAAAAAAAAAATTATATAATTTTATAACAATTCTACTACACTATTTAACAATATTCTTTTTTTATTATATAGTAAAATAATAATTAAATATTATATGGTGAATAACAATAAGTAAACCTGTTACTTTCTCTTATATCAAGAAATAAATTTATATGCTAAAATTAAATTTTTATTAGTATAAATGTTTTAGTGAGATAATATATTAATTATTTTACAAGTTAGCCCTAACATGCTCATATTTAATGTTTTAAAAGATGTAGAAAAAAACTTATAATAACTCTATTGTTTTTTAGACTTAAACGTTGATTAAAAGAGGTAAAAATTCTTAATTTTTTAGACTTAAACGTTGATTAACACCATAGATTGAGAGTCTATATTTAGTAAAATTTCTAATTGTAATAAAAAAAACTACAATGAAAAAAGCAAGTCAGCTATATATTGATTTGTTGTACTCCTCAAATCACATTCACAATTTGGCTACAAGGAAAGGAAACTCATTGATTAAAATATTATTTTGTCAGTAGTCTTAATGTACAAGAGACTTTAAGACTCCACTTGAATATTATAAAACTTTTATTGAACATTGTACAATTTTCTTGCGTATTATAAACTTTTATTGAATATTGCATCTTATAATATAATATTCTCCAAATAAATATATCTCGTGCTTCGCACGGGTCACGTACTATAAATATCCTGTACATTTTTCTTTATTCATGTATATAATTATAAATCTGGATAAATAGCCTTAAAATTGTGCACCCTGTGCATCGCACGGGCTCTGTACTAGTTTAATTACATAAGTTATAAGTTGAAGTGTAAAATATAAGGTGAGATCATATTCCAAGCTACTCCCTCCATTTTGAAATATAAGGCGTATAAAGATTTCTCAATTTTTTTGAAATATAAGGCGCGCTCAAAAATCAAGACAAATTTTTACATTTTTTTTCAAATAGAACCTCATTGTATTGAAATTAAGGAAGTGGGGAGTGATTGTGATTAGAGTAAATAAGGTTAATTTAGTCAATTTATTCATTAATTAATGTCTCCTTAATATTTGTGCAATAACCTTAAATGCCTTATATTTCAAAACGGAGGGAGTATTATAAATGTAAAAGTGGGTGTTACTTTTCTCCTTTTATTTTATTTGATTTTATCTTTCCCGGTGCAAAATTGTGGAGGATCAAGCTCAAACGTAGACCCACTATAATTAGGCGATCTACCTTTCCTAGCATAGTACAATGGTTAGTTGTATCTTTTGATGGGCATTAAAAGATTTTTAATGGCAAAAGTTGGCCTCTATCGGTATTTATTACAATGCCCCAACAATTCACTCACTTAGGTTTTTAACTTTGCGAAAGTTGGATCTTCATCACAATCATTGTCACTTCCTAATAGAGGAAGATTTTGACTCAATGCAGTGACTCGATTTTTTCATGTTTGATCAACAAACATTCTTAAAACACACAAAAACCCAACAGTGAAAAACTGTGAAATTTACCCCTAATCTGTCCTGAAAACTGGCCAAAATGTGGCTCACATTGCCATTTTCATGACGAGTCTAATGTGCCAACATTGAAGTTTTATGCTAACCAATTTATTGTGATTGTGTTACTCGGCGCATAGCACGTGATGGATTCTTAATTCCAAAAAGTACAAATAAATTCTAGATTGCTAGTAATATCACACAATTTAGAAAATAATTAATTTATTTAGTTAAAAGATACTCTCTCTTATTCTTTTTATTTGTCATTTTGACTTTATTGATCATTAATCAAATAAATGACGTTTTGGATCTTTTATAATTTTTTTTTTCATTGTTACCCTCATTTAATTAATGTACTACACGTTTTAGGAAAAGAGTTGTGAAAACGATGAGTTTTCTCTCTTAAAAGAACATAAAAAAAAAAACTCAAAAGAAAGAAATTAGTTACTACTAATTTGCTTTAAATAAGGCTAATATTGGCAAGAAAAAAAATTTTTAATTTATGTATTAAAGCACAAAACGACATTTAAAAAGAATAGAACATAGTACTTTTTATTACGAAGTCCTTGTGCTTTATCATATGTCCCATAAGCCAATAGTCGTTCACTGTTGCATTTCTAAATAGGTGGCCATACATAGAAACCCTAGTCGTTACAAACTGAGTACCTATTACGACGAGAAACCTATGAACTGAAGCTGATGTTTTCAATTCTTACAATTTGAACTATAAAAGAGAAAACAAAATTACGACTTAAGAGCAGAAAAATTATAGCCGAGGCGAGTGAACTATTTTCGCACGACAAATACGCCCCAGTGTAGTGCTAACGCAGTAACGAGTCTGTGCGTCTTGTCCCCAAAGGTACAACGATTGGCGTCTTGAAGGTTGTAGCACAACTTTCGAGCTCTGACGAACTTGAATGAAGTCGAGATTTGAGCAGTATGCATATGCGTGAGGTTATGAATGAGAGAGTGCAAGAATGCAGATGGAATTTTTTTCTCTACATCTCTATACCATGTTTTATTTATAGGATTTCCTGCACAAGTGGGTGACCTCTGGTGTTCAGCTTGTAACAACTTAGCCAATAACAACCCATTGTTGGCTGTTGTAAATGGGCAAAACATTTTAATGTTTTCAGGTGTTTAAGTCACCTTCACATTTGTTTGGTTGAAACTTGAGTCTAAATCCAACTTGATTTGGATTTCAATTTGGGCCTCAAATTTACAAATAAAATTGTAGCAAAAATAATATATAGTGGTTGAGCTCAAGGCTGAGCTCAATATCGGCCCATATTGTCTAAGTTCAGCACACAATCCAATTACCAAGAGCCAAGGGCTAAGGACCAAGGCCCCGGCGGTGGGTCCGAAACCAATATTAATACTTCATGCATAATTATGTTATTAATGTGACTTCTCTAATTTTTTTTTATTATAGTAAAGAAAGTTAATTTCATTTAAGACTACAATGTGGGAAATGACTATTGACTCTTCGAATTAATTAGTAAAAAATAATTGTTATATAGTACAGTTGGTAATAAATCTATGTGTACGAAAAAGGGAAATTGCATTGTCGATCTTGCTGTGATGTCGTGTGAATTACGAAGGTATAGAATTTTAAAATATGAAAAGTCATTTATGTCATTAATTTATATTTTAAAAGGTATATAATTTGAAATAATAAAAAGTCATTTATGTCATTAAATTAAAAGGTAAAATAAAGAATGTGGTTTTATAATGGTTTGGGAAAAGTAGTATCAATGCCTTATGAGCTTAATTTTTTTTATTTCGGAAAGTGTGATACACATTGTAATTTTGCTAAATTGAAATCATTCAATCACCTCATTAGGATTATTCATCTAATAAATTAGGTAATCAATGAATGCAGAGACAGCAATTTATTATGTATTGAATGAAAATTATTCATCGAACAAATTAGATATCGAATGAATGCAAAGACTTTAATATATATATATATATATATATAAAATTGTATGTAAAGAACTAATAATAAACTTTTCGTTTTATACTCATTTTTTTGAGTTAAATATGATAATAAACTATTCCATTTTATTAATGAAGTAATAATTATTTTATTTGACTATTATATCATATCTTAGTAACACTAATATATGGAAGTTATATAAATATAAAAAATTATATTGCAAAATTTTCTATTAAAAAATATTTTTTTCATTCCATTAAGAAATTAAAAGAAAATGAACTAATTAATTTTAATGGCATAGATAAATCCTTTAAAATTGTATAAATAATTATAATTATAACTTTAATATATTCAGATAATTTATGGCAAGATACCTCTAAAAAGCTACATTATCAATTACATTTTTACATTTTATGTGATCATTTGCTGATCAAACTTTTAAAATACAACATCATTATTTAATTTATAATTTTAATATTATATCGTACATATAACTTACAAAATTTATTTACATATAACAAATACTAGTTTATAGTATAACATTACAATTCTATCACTGAAAATGATCTTATTTATTAAAATTCATATAAACATTACAAATGTTATTTATCATGGCGTGAAGGTTCAAATGTTCTTATTATTATGGCCTCAGCCAAAATACATCTCATAAAATGTATTCCTTCCACCAAACATCTTTTCCAATCTCACATGAGAGATACATTACATACTTTACTAATCCATAATTAATTAAAGGTCAATTTTACTTAGCGTAGACCTTACGCGTACAGTAGAAAAAGCTAAAATTAAAAAACAGCACCCACAATTCTCCCTTTATTTCTTTTCCTCCCCTTCCTCAAACGCCGAGACGGGTAAAGATCTGGAGAGCCCCGTCGGGGTCGAGAACGTAATTTTCCCAGAATCCGGGTCCCTAATCGAAATATCGGAAATAGTGACCCAGATCAGGAGCTCCTTGCTCTTCACTCCGGTCACTTGCTTCATCCGGCGGTCCTGGACGAACGCCGTCACCTCCGTGTCGTACCACACGCTCCGGCCGATGGCGCGGAACACGTGCGTCTTGCTCTTCTTCTGCTTGAGCCAAACGAATCCGGTGGCCTCGTTGTAGCCGACCTCGAGGATGTCGTCGAGCGGGAGTAGGCCGCGCGGGAGGTGCATCCGCTCCAGGAGCTCCAGCGACTTCTGCTTGCACACGGCGTCGCCGGTGTGGACCTCGGCGTTCTCGCGGTGGGAGGCGATCTGCTGGGAAGCCATTTGCGGCGGAGGATTTTGATTTTGATTTTTTTTTTTTTCGGGTTTGCTNATACAAGTGGAGGGACGCGTGATGGGGAGGAGAAATTACGGGAGTGCCCCTCGAGAGAGACACTTGGCGGGAGTCTAGGATGGTTAGGAGGGTAAATTGGTGGGTGGGTGGCTTTTTTGGTTTTGAGCATTTATTTTGAGATAGGGGGAAGTATTTACTGTTTATTGTGACTTGTGGGTTGTGACTGACGGTAAAGATGTATTTTAGTTGGTAGTTGACTAGCTGGGACCCAATTGATTTGCATTTATTTAAAAAGAAATAGTCTGCCTTTGTTAAATTTTTAGGGATTTTAGGGTAATGATTGGATCAGTTTTGGTATGAAATAGTTGAGCCAACTTTCTGTATACAACAAATAAACTATATCATATTATTTAATTATTTAAATAATATTAGTAAATTTATTAATATAGTATGATTTACTACTTACTGTATATAGAAGGTTGTCTCTACTATGGAGTCAACTGTTGGCTTTATAGCAAAATTAATCATTGAATATAAAATATCTAACTACGACTATATGTATATATATTTTTAAATGAAAATCTAATTTAAATTTAGCTTAATTCAATTTTTGTCAATATTATTTATACTGATACGATACTTGTGTGCTACACAATTATTTGGTAAAATATTTAAGTGTACAACAAAAACTGAAAGAACAATTTTTTTTTTTTTATATATATTGTTGAATTTAGAAAATGTAATTAAGGAACAATTTATAATAAAAAAAATAAGTGAATTAAAAATATTATTGTAAATTTTAAAAACTAATTTATATACATTATTAGTTTTATTTATAAAATTTTTATTTGAAACATATAAGAGCATAATATGGACCAAAAAGAAAAAAAAAATATATCCTAAATTAAAAGATATTTTTTTATCATTTCAATCATTTTTTTTTTAAAATTACTTCACTTTATCAATAAATTCAATCTAACTCCCAAAATAACTTATATCTAATCAAGCCCTAATTAATGGGTGAGGCAGTAGTGAAACCAGGTGAATTTTGGGAATAAAAAAAAATTATATGAAGATTGAAAAGTGTGTCCATAGCAGTGTTTTAAAACGTGTAGAACGTAATGCGTCGCATTTTGGTCTTTATATTGCATAGCACGTTGCGTATGGCGCAAGCTATTTGAATATAAAAAATTATATATATATATATATATATTATGTATACTTGCATGTAAGAAATCTGGATGGTTGATTCTAAAAATTATCATATATTTATATGAACTCAAAATAACATCTAAAAAGTATTTCTTACAAATGTTTAATGTAAATATCATAACAACAGAGCAAATATGCTAAAAAGTAAAAACAAACAACGAAATATAATAAGATAAGTTATAATTTAATTTTGAGCATATACATTGTAATTAATTTTTTAATTTAATAACAATTATTCTAACCACTAGATTTGAATTTTTTATTCTTAAATTTAAATGTCAAATACTAATGATATAATAGACTTGAACCGACATATATTGCAGTATTCAATTTAAGATTTTGCATTTTCAAACTTTTCACTTGAAATCATTATCAAAATTTTTAGTTTTTAATCATTTAAATGTCGTTGCAAAATATAGCGTAAAAAAGCGTGCTATTTCAGCATTTCGCGTAAGATTTTCGGAAAAAACGCTAAATATATAAAGCTACGTTGCGTTTTTTTGGGAAAAAAGCAATATAACGAGCTACATAGCAAGCTATTTAAAACAGTAGTCCATAGTAGTTTTATTTAGCTATATAATTTACCGTGTATGACAATTTTTATCGTTTGTCATTGTGGACATACCGACATAACTTAATGCATCAAACAAGTGATAATATGGTTAAAGATTGATATATCACACACACGATTGGCATATGGGTAGTTTCCTAAGCTATTGATGATTGATTAACTTACAAGAATTGCACGAATATAATAAATAATTAAAAACAAATAAAGTTTCAAAGTAAATGAATAAAGTATCAGTTAAAAAAATATGAAACTCAATGTTACATGTAGTAACGTTTGGGAATAAATTTATTAGGGGCCCTATTTAGGTAGAAGTGAAGTGAATGTAGACAGCTATGACTAGATAGAATACTATCAAACTTTACAATATTAGTACTATTAAAAGAAAATATCTACTTTAAACGGAACTCATTGATGAAGTTTAGAAATTAGAATGTCATATTGCATATATGTTGAGTTAAGCAAGAAAAGAGTTTCGTTTTTTAAAAAAAAAAAAGCAAGAAAAGAGTTTCGTTTCAAGAAATACTATCAGAATTACGTTTCATCTTTTCGTATTTTAATTGGAGAAACCAATGTGGGGTTGGCGGCGAGAAGCTTTCTGTCGCTATGGAAGGAGGCGGATGCGACGGTGTTGGAAAAGTCGGAGATCGTGGATTTGTGGTCGAGGGTCTGGCCGGAGAAGATGGAGACTGTGGCGGAATGCGCGGCGGTGAAGTCGTGGGGGGCGACTTGGGGAGAAGGATATGGAATTAATGGTGTAGACGAAGAATTTTGCTGGGGTTGTTTCGATGTATTTGGGGATTTTCGGTGTTCTTGGTCTGCGAAAAGTAAAGAAGAATAAAGAGGAAAGTAAAAGAAAGAGAGAGAGCATGGCTTATTACGGCGACACGACTCAAGAAACTCATAGGCGAGCGGTTGCGTCCCTGGGCTTGGGCTAATGGAGGCTGACGAAGGCCGGTGGTCGCGCGACCTGGACCGGTGGATTAGGGCTGAGCACGGGTCGGTTCGGTTCGGAGATCCAGAAATCTCCTGAACCGAACCGAACTTCGGAGATTCCAAAAATTGGATCTCCGGAACCGAACCATTTCTAACAAATCTCCGTTCCGAACCGAAACCAAAATTCGGTTCGGTTCGGTTCGGAGATTCGTTTCTAATGGGTCGGTTCGGTACGGATCGGAGATTTCGGAGATTTTTTAATTTTTTTTATCTTTTATATATTTTTTTTGTTTAAAAAAAATCTCCTAATTGTATGTTAGATGGTACATATCATGGATGAAAGAAAATAATAAACCTCTCTTAATTTCAAAAGATATTTCGTCAATTAATAGTAAGAATAGGTGGTTAATTTTTTTATATTTTTTTTTATAAAAAAAGTAATAATTATCTTTTAGTTGCAAAATATCATAATTTAATTTGAAAGATTTATATCCTAAACGTTTATATGCCAAAAAATCCGCAAGTGATAGGACATACATGAACAATAATAGTTAATTTAAAGATAGTTACTTGTTAAATAAAAGAATATTTTGGAAATATATTATGTTCAAATAAATTAATATCTTCCGGCCGATATCGTGAGATTCGAATATAGTACATATAAAGTTTGTGTTCAAAAAGTGAAGATATTTAATTTTATTAATAAAATAATCGATATATCCGTTCTTACTCTAATATTATGGTAAAGATATATTTCAATTTATTTTTATTTTAGAATATATCACATTTAAATAAATAAATAATTTTTCTCCAAGTTTTGTGAAAGACTTACTTCATAAAGGTCGGTTTCCCAAACATTCAGAATTCAAATTATACTAAGTTATACTTAATGATTTTCTTAATAAAATATTTGACATGTTGGCTATCAAATTTTGTAATAGGAAGAATATATTAATTTATTTTTCTTTTCAATTATGTACAATACATATGAATTGTAATAGATGTTATTTGAATACAATTATGTACAAAGATGAAAAAAATACATATGATAAAATATATAATATATATATATATATATGGATTTTATGAATTGGAATCGATTCTTGTTTGGTTCCTCAGTTCGGTACGGTTATTTTCGGTTCGGTTCGGTTCTCGGTACGGATATTTTATGTATCTCCAGAACCGTACCAAAAAAACGTTCGGTACGGTTCGGTTCGGTTCGGAGTTAGTCAAACGGTCAACGGATATTTTTCGGTTCGGGGTAATTCGATTCGGTTTTCGGTACGGTTCGGTAATCTCCAAACCCGTGCTCAGCCCTACGGTGGAGGATCGGCTATTGTTTTTATATACCGTTTATGTATATACTTCTTCTGAACATGATGCCCAACTTGACCGTCTCAGATTCATGGCTGATTACGGCGACACGACTGAAGAAACTCATAGGCGAGCGGTTGCGTCCCTGGGCTTGGGCTAATGGAGGCTGGCGGAGGCCGGTGGTCGCGCGACCTGGACCGGTGGATGTTCGGCTATTCTATTCATGTACTGTTTATGTATATAAACTTAGCTTCTTCTGAGCGTGATGCCCAAAATTACCTGTGGATGTTCGGCTATTTTGTTTATGTACCGTTTATATATAACTTTATGTTACTTTTTAAGTTATAATGATATTATTGAAGTTATATAATAATGGTTGTTTGCTTATTGCTTACTTTTAATATAATGTCGCAGAATAAAAAATATGTTTATATGTTGTTTATCTTGTGTATATATATATATATATATGTATATGTATATATATATATATATGTACAATGCACGGTATGTGTGCTTATCTACCCGGATGTTTACTACACGGTGTAATATACATTAGTTAAACACGTATGTGTGCGTATGTCTCTATTTTGTGTTTACAACCCGGTATAATATACTTTAGGTAAACACATTACTTAAAGTATGTGTGTGTAAGTCTCTAAAAAACTTCAGATAAAATTACAATACCGGATGGAAAAAAAATGGTCCGAAAAGTGTATTTTGATAGGTTAACCTCGTGCAAATCAAATATTCAAAAGCAATAGAACCAATATCCTTTCACTGAAGTTCACCAGAAAAAATGAAAAAAAAAACAAAAACAAAAAATGCAACAAAAAATCATGCCAATAGTATCAACAAAAACGCCACTGACAAATCACTACACAGGCACAAAAACATTCCCAAAAATCCAAACAAGACAAATTCCACAATTAACAAACAAGTATGAATTATAATTTGATTCACAAAATATTATTGCAACACATCTAATCACTATAATAGAGAGGAGGACCGTCAGGCTCGTCGGACGCTATCAGTCGGTGTTCTGTGAACGGCTAACGAATTTTCAGCGAGAGGTTAGCAATAGTAAAACGCCGGCGGGTCGGACGCCGCGAAATTTTGACGAGGCGGCGGTTGTGAAAGGTGGATGCAAGCGGAGGCACCCTGTCATCACAGGGAGATCGGGCCCGCGAGCGGAGACTGGAAAAGCCGGAGTGTACGTCGCCGGCAGAGATTCTTCATCACCATGGAAAGACGGTCGCCGCGAAAATTGACCAGGCGGCGGCGGAAGATGAGTCGCTGCGGTCGACGATGAAGGAACTCGGCAGGACTTCTCGACCAGTGGCCAAGAGAAATCCGGCAAAGACAAAACAATTGAAGCCGATTTCCTCGTCAATCTTCGTGGGGCCTTCAAAATTTGGTAGATTACGAGCGTTTGCCTGAGAAATTGAGAGAAAATTGAAGGAGAGAAAAGCCCTAAATTGAAAAGCTCTAACCTGGTTTGCCTGAGAGAAAAAAAAACTCACGCGGGAATATACTTTATTTCTGGGGAGAGATGAATTCTCCACATTAAAACTGAGATATGGACAGAGAATTGATGATTTGCTTATTTTTAAATTGCCACCAATATCGGAATTAAATATGTAATTAACTGTACTTAACAGTTCATTTGGCCAAACTTAACCGTACTGATTCTCTTTTTATTTATTAAATAACGTACTTATGATAAAAAGGTTGTGAGGTCGTATATTTGATATTATTTAGTCTATGGAATGTACAGCGTGTGAATTTCTCTTGATTTTATTCGTCCTGTGAGCCCATTTAGTTGGGAACCTTAAGCTAATACAAAGCCCAGATCCAGTTACTTTAAGAAAGTAGGAAAAATTTAGTAACTACCTTCTCTGAAAAATCGTAATATTACGTGCAATTTTACCTTATTAAAATATAGCTACTTATGTATGATTGACAAATAACCTGATACTTAACAGAAGTTATTGAGTTGTTAATGTCTCACAACGTTTTATTGGCTAAAAAAACATTAAATTTATCAACTAAATGCATAATTAAAAGAAACAACAACCATTTATGTGAAGAAAAGTTCGAATATCTATTCACTAAACAATCAAAAAAAAAAAAAAAAAAGTACTTATACTAACAAAAACAACCCCAAAAAGTCATCAATCATGGGATTCACCCCACATATGCAAAAGGTAGCCCTCACACTTGCCACAACTTCTGTTGGCAAATAAATCTGGGCTGGCCATCTTGGTTTTGGGCCCTGCTCTGGCCCGGCCCATTTTGATGTTGTGCCTGTATTCTAATGCCACCTGTTCAAAAACTTCAACCTCAAACATGTTGAGTTTAAGGTTTGGGCTCATTTTGTCCCTCACGAATGCAAATGGAAGTTGATCTCTTGGATTGAATGCTTCAAGTTCATTGAACAATAGGCATGAAAATATATTTGTTGCTACATTGTGTTTCCTAAGTATAAGTGCACTGTCTGGTACATCTGCAAGATATATACTCAGAAAAAATAAATATATGTTGAAAAAGTATGATTGTCGAGCCGTTTGGCCTGCCTAACAATTTGACTTCTAATTTTGAATCTTAGGACAAAAGGAAAACGGATAAAACTCAGTTATCTTTCAATTGAGGTTATGTTATTTGTAACCACTGTAATTTTCTAATCATATTACTTTCATATTCATGTTATTATGTCAAAAACATAACAATTTTTTCTAACTCATATCATATAACATTGCATTGTTAAGAGGATATATTTGTAATTTCAAAAGATAACTCGATGTCAGTTCTGAACAGAACCTCGTGTGTAATTTGCATGTTAAGAGGATATATATGTAATTTCAAAAGATTATTCGAGTTCAGTTCTGACGTATTCTTGCTCCTACCTGTCGGGTAAGGCTTGTTCGAGCTCCACGGATTCAACCCGTTTTCGCAATAAGTCTCAATTTGGACCTTTAACCCGTTCACATCCCACCATTTTTTCCACCGGGTGGTCGCCATTGCCTCCTCCATCGTGTGCAAAAAATAAGGATGTCTCGAGATAGCCATGTCCACATTCTCCTTCACAACAAGCGAATGAATCAACAAAAATGGGTCGATCACCAATTGCATCTTGGCATCGACCCACACGCTATACTTCGAATTCGGAAAAATCCGGTGGATTAGGTATTTAGGTACGATTCCATTCATGGCGGGATTTTCGTACAATTGATCGGACGAGACATTAACTATTCTCCACGCGCCGATTTTGAATTCCTTTGATGTTTTCGAGATCATTTTGTGGTAGTGAAGTTGGTTTAGAGTGGCGTCGTCTACAAACATGAAGAAGCATGCATTGTCTAGGGTTTTCGACCCGAGTCCTCTCGGCTGTCGGATTTTGTCATGATCGTTGAATATGGCGGATGCCACCACTAGGCCGTCGCATTTTTCCATCGAAATTCTATCTGAAAAATTTAGTGAAAATTGGAGTTCTTGAATTCATTTGGTACACACTAAAATGCATTTGGAACTTCCATTAGATCTCATGTCAACAAAAGTACAAAACCAAGCAAAAACAGAGGAGGAAAATGAAAACTTTCTACGAGATCACAAGAGAGTTAGAACCGAAAAAATAGAAAAAAGAAAATTTACCCGAATCACCGATGGGAAAGCGCTTCAAGAACCCACATGGGATTTCAATTCCATCTTCGCGATGATCGAAATATGATATTCGCTCGGGAAAACTAAGCTTCCCTCCAAACGTCCCATAATTCCCCTGTTTTATATACCTCAGAGTCGATTTTCTTGTCGAGTTGCCAATTGTTGTCTTGAGTTCATCAAAAACCACCTGATAATCTGACCAAAACAACAAAAAGAGATAAAAAAAAACACACACATTGGCAATGAAAAATCTAATCTTTACAAATTACAAACCAAAACACATTGTTATCTTAGATTTGTTTTCTACGTGTTTATCTTTGTTACCCGAGAAAGAAACAGGGGAATTGCACGAGGCACGAGTTGTTGGGATGGCGTGTTTGTGTTCTCCATAAGAGGATGGATATAAGAAAAGTGGGGCCTGGACTGGATCAAAAGGGGACCACCGGAAAATGCATTTTGTGGCGGAGAAGGTGAAATAGACGGCCAAGGAGAGAGAAGAAGAGAGGTAGATGAGGGAGAAACAGAGGAGCTTGGATTGGAAGATGAGTGGCTTTGAGAATTTAGCCAGCTTACCCATTTTAGTAAGTGTGGCAATTTAATTTGCCCAATCACACTAAATGTGCAATTTTGAGTTTGTTGCATGTAACCATTTCATTATTATTATTATTATTATTATTATTATTATTATTATTATTATTATTATTATTATTATTATTATTATTATTTATTTCATGTTCTTGATGTTTTTACCCTTTTTTTCCCTTTTTTCTTGTAATAGTTCTTATAATCATATTATTAAAATGTCAAAATTTGATAAATGTGATTGGAGATTTAACATTGTATTCGATCAATATTGAAGATTCAATGGAGCTGAGTCTAATCCTGTTTAATCTCGACTTACTTGATTAGGTATTTAACTGACTATTTTTTATCTTTTATAACGTTTTCCAAAATTTTGGTTTGTTAAAGAATGTCAGTATTTAACATTAGTTGCATGTTACATACTTAATTACCATCCGAGCTCGCCTGCTATCTGGCGAGCGTCGCGCCATGCCTACACCGCATGCGCCCGCCTCTCGCGTATCATCCGGCCAGCTCGCGAGTCCGCGCGCCATTGATACTTGCTCGCCCATGCCCGTGCCCACGCGAATCCACTAACGATCTCGCGAGTGTATTTTTAATCGGTGTGTGTGTTTAGTGTGCGCGACACTATAGAGCTATAAATACATTTAGTCACTTTGCATTTTGGGATATCTAGCCTTAATTTTCTCATTTCTTAGTTGAGGAAGTAGCCCTTTTAGTTTTTCTCGTTTAGGAGTTTCAAGACTCATGTTTCCGACTTTGCCGGTTTCAGTTAAAGTTTCGAGCTTTTCGTGTTGATTTCACCCGAGCACGCAAAAGAATAGTGAGTACCGTAATTAGGATTCATTACTTCGAATTTGGTCCATTTTTGCTTATGAAGTTGTTCAAAGTGAATATGGGTATCTTGGTCGGAATTATGTGGTAGACTCGGTTTTGGTGAAAGTTCTTATCTTTTCTTTTGTTTTACTTTTTTAGTATGATTCGTTAGTTAAAGTTTGAATCTTTCAAGGTAAAAATCGAGACTTTGTTGAAAGATCGGTTATTTCGTGATTGGATGTTCGACTTTAGCTTATAGATATGTTAGATTTAACTTGTTTTCTCTTTGCTTTTGTTTCTATTTGAGTGCTGGACAAAGTTTAAACTCTTAATTCAAGCTCGCACCTTTAGGTAATTTTTCTTAATTCTTTTAGGTAATATTAGTTTAAAATCAACTATTCAAACTTGTTAGAATGTGTAGGACTTTTATTTTTCGTTTTTGTGTTTGACAATTGGATAGTATTCTAACTCCAATAGTCTTTCTCGTGAGACACGACCAGAGGTCAGGAGCCCTAAAAAAATAGTTAACAACATCTATTTCTTCTAATTTAGCACATAAGACTATTTGAGTTCTTTGAATAGAATAATGCTATTTGATAATCTCGCTATAACATGTCCGAATTTTGGACCCAACCAATAGAACTCAACCTTCACGTGGGCTCATAAGTCACTAAAGTCCAGACCTTAGTCCATTTAATTATACTTTTAAAAATGGAAATAAATTAAAAGCAGAGGAGTTAAGTGAAGCTCTGCAGTTATGTATGTTACATTTGCATAGAGATTTTGGTTATTTCAATGTAAGATGCTCTCAATTACTTTACATGGTCTCATTATCAATAATGTTTTGTCACAGAGCTACTTTTGTTGTATGAATTATCTCTCAATTGATCAGACTTAATTTTTTTTTTATGTTCGGAAAATATATTTAAAAAGTAGGGCACTCATGTTTAGGAGCTCACAAGTTTTCTCTAAGTAGATATTGAAGTACGTTGCACGATGATGGTTTTAGTATCGTGCACGACCCTCTTTCTAGAGCAAACTCGTTAGCTTATAAACTTAAGTGTTGCTATTTTTAATTATATTTTTCGGATAATAAAAAAAAAGTGAAGTACGAGTAATTGAGAGAGAAGTCAGCTATGCAACAAACAATGTTGATGAAAACTATGTGAAATTGAGATTATTTTACATTGAAATATCAAAATCTTCATATATATCGTTCTTTTTTGCAGTGCGAGTTTCTTAGCTCAACAATTGTATATAGAAAATTTGAAATGTGAGCTAGGTTTATATGATATTAAAAACATGCCACATATCTCTAAACCAAGCGGGATAATTATTATGTTAGAACTGTTTGGGTCACAGGTTATTCCAAATTAACATGTATATTGTACGTAAGAAAAATATACGTAATGAAGATATATGCATCCTCGTTCAATTGTTGGTGTGAGTTTAAATCATTTACTATTTTCATAATAATAATAATGACTCCTATATGTGTATCTAAAGTTTATATGATGCTCCAGAATTTTATTTAGATATGGGTAATGGTTTTAGGTTTAATAAAAGACTAGTATCCTATTGGGCTCAAATTGCAGGCCGGCCCAGACAAATCTACAGTCTGGAGACCGAGAATACTGGAATTTGGGTTTGAGCTCAATTTACAGGCCAACCCACATTAACCTTCAGAGTGGGCCTAATTGAATTTGGGCTTTGGCTTAATTTGCAGGCCAGCCTGGACAAATCTATGCCATCGAGTTTCACAGCCCCAAAGCTCTATTATCACTGGTATTTCACTCATTCTCAACTAGTTTAGAGATGAATCTAATTTAATAACCTCTCGATGGTCTTGTAAGTTAGTGATATAAGAATTTTGGTTCACAGCTGATAGCACGTCTTGATCAACCTAAGTGTCTTTCGAAATTTCTGACCAAAAAACACGCCTACTATATTAGAGATGAATCTAACTTATTAATACCGTCAACCCTTTGTTCCAAAATTACTCTAACTTCAAATATTTGATTCCAAATTTATATTCTATATATGTATACTTGTGTATTTCATTTTTTTTTTCTTAGAAGTAAATGAAACTTATGGATAGGGAATCTAATGTTATCTAATTTTCTAGGCAAACCTAATGCCAAAGGAATGGAAATAAAGAAAAATAAAAAAATAGAATAAATTTGTTGAAACACTTGCCACCTCAATGTGTACACGTGCAGCTGCATGGCTAGGGTTATGCTTATCCACCAGTCCCCATGAAGGCCACACGCATGTCTCAATTTGACCGGTAAAACAGTGACCGCAATGTGTAATACATGCTTTTGACTTTACAATTGACACTAATTCTTTTAGTAAAAATGAAACTTAAATTTTATGAACATTCGTAATTTAATTTGCACACTACTTCTTCACCATACAATTAATCGCAAAAATGTAGACTGAGTTTTCAAATTATGAATGTTAGTAAAGTTGATATTGTATTTTAGTACAAAAATAGTGTAGGTTGCAAAATTTCAAGAATATTTTACTCGAATTTGGCTACAACCAACAGATTTCGACCATTTTTCACATGACTCTTTAACATGAGTGCCTGTTTATTTAAATTATATTTTTTCAGATAGATACAAATAAATGAGAAGGAGCTGAGAAGAGACCCCATGCACCATCCGTGTTTGTTACATTGTTAAAAGGGGTTTGGTTCTTCCAATGCAAAATGATTTCAATTGCTTCACATGGCTCCATCAATGTTTTTTGTCATGGCTTGTTTCTTAGTTACTAAGACTTAAAATTTTCTACTCAAAAAATATAATTGAATCTTTTTTATTTGATTTATTTAGATATATGATAATTTTTTTGTTTATAAATTTAAAATTGTTGTAGATATCTATATATATATATAATTACTAGCTAATAGAATTTAATAAAACCTATTTAATTTTACCTATGTGGCAATTTAACAATTTTCCCTCCAAAAATCGTTACATTTTGATGTATTTAATCTTTCATTTAATCATTAAATAATTAATACTCATCACTTCAAAATTACAAAAATCATTTTAAACTTTTGATTAATGACAGTTGACCATATAATGTGTTGACCGTATAATGTGATTAGATGTTATTATTGTTGTTACATTTAATTTTTTTTTAAATAAAAAATATATTTGAAATTCCTAAATAAATAACAAATAATTCACAAATAAAAGACGTACCAAAATATACAATACATCCAATCAGATAAACGCAATTTAAAAAAAAAATATTCCAACTTTTTTAATTGTAAATTTGGTCTGCAAAAAAGTGAAAGAAAAATAATTAATTATTATATGTACAGACTCACAATAATTTATTTATATCTGTGCAAATGCACAAGTCGAATACTAGTTTAAATAATCATGAGCAAAGGTACATTTCGTTGATGGCCTAATTTTCCGTAGTACCAGCCCATGATGTTTGGTTTTAGTAATGTTATAGTTGAAATTCTAGATAAGCTCATGATGTTTCGTAGATTCTTCTAAAACTTCAAGTACTAAGATGATTAGATAATTTAATGGTTAGATAATTTAATGGATAGAGTTGGAGTTTAATTGTAGCTATTCGATAATATAAATCTTAGCCAAGTGTACAATCAAACTTGTCGATATAAAGAATTGTCAATATAAATAATTCTTAATAATATCTATAAAATTATGGAAATATAAGTTAATAAATCACTGATAAATTTTCTGATTGACACAAATAATCTCGTCCCTAGTTATTTTATTTTGGCGGAAAATAAAAATACTGTCAGTGAATTTGGCTGTTACTGACAGGATCAATAATATCAAAAACGATCTGACACAACTAATATCTTGTATAATATAAAAACGACATGCTGACAAAAACAGTAACATCAAAACTGTGACGTAATATTTTTTTATTTATTAAAATCTTAAAAATAACATTATTATTTTTATTTAACTCATGCCCATATAATAATTTTTTTGTTACTAATAGCTTTAATAGATACTTTAATTAATTGATACATAATTTTTTTTTCATTTTCAAATGACCAACTAATATATATTTTATTATTTAGGTTGAAATTTTTTAATGGATTGAAACTGAATTTTCTAAGAATTGAAATATAAGTGGAACTAAAAAATTCTACCGAAAATTGAGTGGTCGTTAAAATTCCAATGATATACTCATTTCGGAAGCTATACCATTAGAATAGCCTTTTGAATTTTTATTGGAATATATTAGTGTTGGACTTTTGTTGCAATTTTTATAAAATGTGAAAAATGATCAACTTGATATATCATATATAAAAAAATTTAAAATTTACTTATAATTTAAGTTAATCAGCCATTTTGTAAATGTAAAAGTCCGTTAATAAATGTCTCAATTTATACTTCATTAACCAAATTCAATTAATTTATTAGCAAATAGTTTGATTGGAGAATTAGATATATAATTTTAAAAATAGTAAAAATTAACGAATTTTATTAAATATTTTCAAAAAAAAAAAAACGTAAAAGTATCAACAATTAATTTACCTAACAAGTTTGGACAAATGGAGAAGAATAAAGAAAACAAAATAAAAATAGTGAACTAATAACATGAAGCGGTGGGGATGAATTGGGATTGGAAATAACAATCTTCTATTCCCAATGCGGTTGTTGAAAGCTCAGTATGGATTCCCAAATTAATACTATAATAATGTCCCATTTATCACTAACCATGAGCATCTTTGTTCCACTTCGCCAAACACAAAGCCTAACCATGAAGCACAAATTGATGCCCTTTGGTCAGTAACTTCCTCATAACCTTATTACATATGATATATACACCAGTATCCAATATCATGACCTCTCATTGTACCTTAACAACATTTTTGGTCAATAACTTTCTCATAACCTTATTGTTTGATATACACCAATATCACGATCTCTTAGTGTAATCACGAAAAATTGTAGTTTTGGTCCAGTAACTTAATGAATTTGGTCAATTCGATAACGAACGCCGAAATTTGACAATTATGTGGTCTGAATTTGGTCCATTGACTCTTACATTTTAGAGTTGTTGGACCCATTTGGACCAAATTGGCTAAAATTTAAAAGTTGTTGGACCAATTCTGAAACTAAATAAGTTAGTACTGGGCGAAACTAAAAACATCTTAAGTTAGTGGACCAAGACTGCGATTTTCACAATGTAATCATAAAATCTTTTGCTTTATTATTATTTTTTTACTGCAGACAAAATTTACCTAAACAAATCAAACTGTGTGTGCAGACAACTTCAATTCCGACACGATGGGATTCTCGATATTTGTAGTGGGTTTTAGGGGTCAAAATTGGCATAAAATTTTTCCAAATTGACTTGAAAACATATATTTTGGCCAAGAACTATACAAGTGAAAGTCCTTAACAAAGATGTATAAAAGCATATGTAATATATCTTTATTGTTAAAGTGGTTATATATTTTAAATTGGAAGTTATTTAATTTGGAGTGTAAGTTTGGTGGATTATTCACTCGAATTGATTTATTTATGTACTTATTCAAAGTGAACCAAAGCTTCAACGCTGCTGATGTATCCCCTTAGCTATACATAGGTTACTCAAAAAAAGGCTAACCGCCTTGATGGTTGACATGACCAAAGCGACTCCCAATTATGGAATTACATAAATGTCTTCCAACGGATTCCCCTAAATATATAGGTCAAATTACATAAATATATAGCTAGGTTGCTATTTTTTTTGAAATATTATCTTCTAAAAAAAAAGAGATGCAAAAGTGAGGAATACTTTGTGTAAAAAAGTGAAATAGTTTAGCATAATTGTGAATGAATATAAAATAAAAACATAATAATTAGAATTGATGTAATTATTATTATTATTATTATTATTATTATTATTATTAGTAGTAGTAGTAGTAGTAGTAGTAGTAGTAGTAGTAATAGTAGTAGTAGTAGTATTATGATCGATGATTTAAAACAAACCAATACAATTAAAGATGATACGCCAAATTATCCCGAACTGCTGGATCGTTTCTCTCGAACTGGGTTGTGCCTCCTCAATCATCGATTATCTGCAAAACACACTGGGAGAAAATCCTGGAGCATTTTTGTTTATAAGATTTTTCAAAAAATTTCCAACATTTTTAACTCAACCACTTTTTTTAACTCAACCTCACTATCATCAATATTATCAATATAATTAAATAATATCAATCAATCAATCATACACACAACATCAATCTTAATTCACTATTCATCCACTCACATTATTTTAACTAACTATCACTTCAAATCATCTCTCTCATACTTTTACATCAAATCAATTTTAATTATTTTATTTTAAATATTATTTTAATATACTCACTAATACCTAGCCATGCCACCTTTTTCAAAATTAACCAAACCAAACCAAAAAATCTAAACAAAACTAAAAATTTTTATAAACAAACATGCTCTGGTGTAGGCACTGCGACGCTCAAGTCAGTGGGATATCCGACAGAAAATGACAGAGTAACAAGACAAAGCGTATTTGGTGTATATGTGTGTTATCTAAAAGTAAAGAAACTTGTCCCCTTATATAGTCGAGAGTGATCGTGCCCTGCAAGACTTCTAGTATTTCAAGGAGTATTGCGTCCGTCCGCCTCTCAACCATGCACATCTCATCTGATAATCCAGAGTCCTGGTCAATCCCAACTCCCTTGGTCAATGAGATCTAAACTCCACTATGTACACGAAAGTACCCCCGCCATGTTTAGTAGCTCGACCCTCACCGAGCTGAGGACTCAAGTTATCCTCCTAGCTGAACTCCTCACGCCACGCCATCAATTTCACCCTAGGCCAGAGTACACCCGACTACATGCCCGACCACGCTCATGTCGAGCCCCGCCATGCCATGTTTGGCAGCTCGGCTAGCCCGAGCTAAAGATTCGAGGATGTTCCGCCGGTTTTACACATCATGGTTACTCCTTATTCCGTGACGACCAGTCATCTGCCGAGCTCATTCCCGCACTATCGGAGCCCGTTGGCCTAAGTGCCGAGCATAACTCTTGCCATGTGTCTATAACCTGAGAGCCACAGTTATACCCTCTCCCGAACCATGAGCCCCTGTCGAGCCTAACATTGCCTCGACCTTGCTACCTCCACGAGCCACGAGATCCTATGCTACGAGCCACATTCCCTTTGCCACATCAGAGGAGAATGCCAATTTTATACCACCAAAAGAATCTTAACAGAATATATATTCATAAATTGTGCCATAAGAGATGACATAAAAAATTGATATAGTAACACGTGTCACGATATATCCTGTTACTTTACATATCAAAACACTTTTAAAATCAACAACTATTAAATTTACACATCATTTTTCGTCATCAATCTATGTCAACAAATTATGTCAGAGTAACATTATTCATTTCTCCATGCCTGCATCGATATATTCCATAGGTAATTCTAATCGTCGTATCAAAATGCACTCACACGACAATGCAAATGTGAGTGTATGCGATCTATAACGCCTAAAATTCTTCAAGTCCTCTAGTATTTCCAATTTCCAATCTAGCCTAGCGATAACACCACAACTCCCTACATTACATAAAGAATAAATCTACTTTAACATAATCTTTTGACATAAGAGATGACATAAATGATATGTAAGAGTATGAATCGTTGATTTTAAAAGATCTTGCCACATGAATATTACATCAAACTTTATGTCAATTATTATATTACTGTGACGGTAACATGATCACTTCGACAATTTATCTTACATCAAAACACATTCATACAATATATAATCGGATGGCTAAAATCCCGCCGTTCAGTCCACGAGCAGGTCCATCTACCCTAGCCACAACACCGCAATCCATAACTCCCGAAACATTTCAAACAAAATTCATCACATCTAGTGTTGTTAAATTAAACGAGCTTAGTTTGGCTCGAGTTCGACTTGGCTCGAGCTCAAGAGCTCGGCTCGATGAGACTCGAAAGGAGAATTTTCATATAATTTTCTATATCTCGGCTCATTAAAGCTCGAGATCGACTCGTTAAGACTCGAACTCGACTCGTTATTAATGATAAATGAGTCGAACTCGAACTCGAACTCGATTTTAGGCTCATTTATTTAACAAGTCGAGCTCAGTTCGACTCGTTAATGACTCGAGCTCCACTCAGTCGTTTACATACCTAAATTCCATTGTTATCAAAATCGGACCGGACCGGCCGGTTCGACCAGGAACCGGACCTAATACCGGTCCGGTTTGAGTGTTTAAACCGTTCGAACCGGTAAAACTGGTGAACCGATACCGGTTCGACTGGTCGAACCAGTTCTGAAATTTGAAAAAAAAAAATCTTAATGAAAAAAAAAATCAAACAAAAGGAAAAGAGTGAGAGAGTATTTTAATGTTTGATGAATTGTATGTAATGTTGGATTGAATATATTTTGATGTTTGATGACTTTGTAGTTTGTATTTGTAATTTGGATTGCCTTGCTTTAGATAATAGATATTGAATTATTAATCTATTGTTTTAGTAAAATTAATTTAATATTGCTTATGGTAAACTATACTTAAAATATTGATTTATCAACTCTTATTTAGAAAAATATCATTATATGCTATAAAATTAATATAAAATTAATGATAAAAAAGATATATATACATATATAATTATATATTATACATGTAAAATAAATAAATAAATTGTATATTAGTCAAACCGGTTCGACTGATTCGACCACTGGTCCAACCAGTGAACCATTGAACCAGTAGTTTCACCGGTTTGATGATCGATTCGATTTTGATAACATTGCTAAATTCACATCCCATCTAATTAATTTCAACTCTAAAATCACAAAACTAATTGCAAAATATGTTATTTTTCTTCCTCCTCGGAAAAAAGTGAGACAGGTGTACCTCTCTCTCACCTCCACGTTCTTACTCCGATTCCATGCATCACCCTTCTCAAAACCCTCTCCCCCGCCTATAAAACGGCCCACCTAAACTTACCTATTCTCCTCACGCACAAAATCACTTCAAAAACATCAATAATAAGATTATTATTATTATTACTATTATTAGTATTATTATTATTAAATAATAATAATAAAACAATGATGAATATGGTGGTCCTTCCTCCGCCGCCAAAGGTCACCAACAACGTGGCCCAAATCTCCACATGTCGGCCCGCCGCCACCAATTCCGGCTTCCCCGGAATTCCCGTCGTTGACCTTTCCGATCCGGAGGCCAAATCCAAGGTGGTGGCCGCCTGCCGTGATTTCGGGTTCTTCAAAATCGTCAGCCACGGCGTGGCCGCAGATTTCCTGGCCCTGCTCGAGTCAAAGGCCGTTGACTTCTTCAACCTTCCGCAAGAGCTCAAGGAGATGTGGGCCCCACCCGGCCCACTCGGCTACGGGTGTAAAAACATCGGCCCAAATGGAGATGTGGGCTGGATCGAGTATCTACTCTTCCATACCAACACTGGGCTCGATTCCTCTGGTTCCACCGGAGCTCCGTTAACCCTGCGGTACATATATGAACACTATATTATTATTGCATGAAATAGGTAAAAATAGGGAATATATATTATAATTATGTTATAACTTCTTTTTCCTAGGTGGAGATATTTTTGTCAAACTTTTTCTTTTTTGTCAGGTATCAACTAGCTTTTATGAGTTTTTTGTTACTTTTGGCATATTACTTGGTATATGTATATTTTGAAATTGCAAGAGCTACTAGACATATTTTACAGTTTTGTATTTATTTGACATATTATTTGGTATGTATATTTTGAAATTGCAAATTACTAGGCATATTGGACTGCTGAGTTAGTTAGTGGACATATTTTACAATTTTACATATTTTTTTGCATATTATTAATTTGGTATGTATATTTTGAAACTTTTAGAGTTATTAATTATTCATATTTTTTCGGCTCTACTGAGTTACTGGTCATATTTTGCAATTTTGTCTTTTTATACAAAGGGATTTCTTGGACGAGTACGTGGCCGTGGTGCGGTCGATGACCTGCACGGTTCTCGAGATGGTAGCCGAGGGGCTCGGGATGGAAACCCGTGACACGTTGAGCCACATGATACGAAACGAGAATAGCGACTCTTGTTTCCGAGTCAACCACTACCCATCTTGCCCGGGCCACCTCCAGGGCTTGATCGGGTTCGGTGAGCACACCGACCCGCACATAATGTCGGTCTTGAGGTCCAACGACACCTCGGGATTTCAAATCCTTCTCAAGGATGGGTCGTGGGTCGACGTCCCACCCGATCCCACCACCTTTTTCTTCATAGTCGGCGATTCTCTCCAGGCAATCAATCAATCAATCCAGACACTTTATTCTGAGTTATCAATCCAGAAAAACAGTTTTCTGATAACAAATACAGAAGTTATTATTAGTTACCAATCTAAATTTTTTATTATTATGCGTCATCAATAATCGAGACAATTTTCTGATAAGAAATACAAAAGTTATTAGTTATCAATCATCCAGACAATTTTCTGATAACAAATACAAAAGTTTTTCTGAGTTATCGATAATCTTTACAGTTTTCTGATAACAAATACAAAATATCAATCAGTTTCTGATAATAAATACAAAAGTTATTTTTAGGTAGTTTATAATGTTGAATTGTATTGTTATTACTATTATTATTGTCGAAATTTGGCCAGGTGATGACGAACGGGAGGTTGAAGAGCGTGAAGCATAGGGTGGTGGCGGAAGGGGTCGGGTCGAGGCTTTCGATGATTTTCTTTGGTGGGCCGCCGGAGGGTGAAAAGATAGCTCCGTTGAGGTCGGTTATGGAAGATGGGGAGGAGAGTTTGTATAAAGAGTTCACGTGGGCCGAGTACATGGCTTCAGCCTACAAGACGAGGCTTGGGGACAATAGGCTGAGCCATTTTGAGAAGAAGAAGTTTGCCACTGAGGTCCAGTCCGAATAACTGTTTCTAGCTAGAGAGGAAGGTGGTTGTGTTTGATGAGTGGTCAAATACTTAATTTTGGGAAAAGTACCAAATTCCCAAGAAAATCAGGGCTCAAATTTTGACCTCACCGCCTAGAAATAAAAATAATAAATAAAATTAGAATAAAGGAGGGTGTGTACTAAGTAATGTATTTGGTTTGTTTGTGTGTGTGTGTGTGTTTTTTTGTGTGGTGAGTTGCTACTGTTTGGTTTTTACGATGTAATGTAATGTGTAATATATGAGTGCTGGTTTTAGTATTAATGAAAAGTGCGTTTTGATTTTGATGAGTTAGTTTAAATGTTTTTGTGTTGTATATATGTAATATGTGTGTTTTGCAGTGTGTTTTGTTTGGTTGTATATAACTGAATGAGCCCAATTCAATGTTTCTTGAGGTGTTAATGGTGTTTTGCAGGCTCTGTTTGTTTGTTTGTGTGTGCTTATTTTGGGCTGTGAGTTGTGGCTGTCGAAGTAAAAGTAATTGGGTTGAATTGCCTGACTCATTAATTGCAAAGGGAAGAGGATAAATTGCTGATATTTTCAAAGGTGTGTTAAGAGTTATTACATAACAATAGTGAAATTGAAACAAAAGACAAAGTTATTCAAGATACTGTTGTTAATTTGTTGGACAACGATGAGTGAAATTGATACAAAAACACAAATATACAAAATATTGTTGTAAGGTTGTTGGATAACGATGAGCGAAATTACTTATATTTTCAAAGGAACGATGAGCGAAATTACTTATATTTTCAAAGGTGTGTTAGAGGTTGTTGGATAATGATGAGCGAAATTGGAACAAAAAGACAAATATACAAAATACTATTGTTAGGTTGTTGGATAACGATGAGCGAAATTATTGATATTTTTAAAGGTGTGTCTGATGCTGTTGAAAACAAATATACAAAATATTGTTGTAAGGTTGTTGGATAACGATGAGCGAAATTGCTGATATTCGAAGGTGTGTTAGAGGCTGTTGGATAACGATGAACAAAATTGAAACAAAAACACAAATATACAAATACTGTTGTCGAAATGTCGGATAACGATGAGCGAAATCGGAACATAAATATTGTTGTTGTTGTTGTTGTTAGATGCTGGATAACGATGAGTGAAATCGAATCACATATACTACACTCATCACATATACTATTGTTAAGCTGTTGTACATCGATGAATGAAATCGAACTACAGATAATATTTTTAGGCTAGTTAACAAGTCATATTTTTCTTAAACAAAAAATTGCATGTTTATATTCATTTTTTTTGTCCATATTGTAATTTGAAAATTGAGATTTGAGTGAATATAATGCCTAACCATTAGGTAAAATATTATTGGTTTTTCATTTTCAAATAATAATAATAATAATGTCTGGAACCCATTTAGTTTCTTTTTTTAACACTACTATCTTTTAATTTTATATTATGTTCATTAATTAAGTATAGTTATTATATTAATCAACATCCCTTTCATTAATCAAGTGTGCGCTATTTGTCAATGGTTTCTTTTGACTACCAAATAAACCATAAATCCATGGTTTGTCCTAAAGGTCCTAAAACAGGTAAATAAATAAGAACATTCATTCAATTCATACCTAAAAACAGTATTTTTTTTGTACTGAAAATAATTATTACTTCAGGAAACTGAATATTACTTTCCATTCGATGGTTATCCAAGCCTACACTCATACCTAAATAAATATGGAATTTTCCAATTTTAGTCATGTAATTTTTCTTTGCTTAGTTAGATTCTATATAGGATATGCTCATGCTTACAGCGTACACAAACGAATTAAGAAATTGAAAATTCTGTTATAGCCAAAAGAACGAACAGATATATATATGTATATAGAAAATAAATTGTCATTGTCCACAAATTAAGTTTGAACTCTCAATTGTGTGTCTAATTTAAATCATCAATTGTTCAAACTTTCACCATCAATTATAGTGAATCTTGAAAGATCAGTCATATAGTATTTTAATAATGCTAGCTATTAATTAAAAATAATACTTTTAAAACAAATTATCAACATCCGCAATTTTCACTACTTTTCACACTCAGATTATTGCATCTAAAAAATTGTTGCTTTCCAATTTGTTTCAGTCTTTCTACCTTCCAATATCATCATATACTAAATAAAATTATCATAAATATTATAGGGCGAGCAGATGTGTTTTAATGGAGTTATAAATTAAATATGTATCGGTATTTTTTTGAAAAGTATTTATTTTAGAATACATGTGAATACATATTTGTAAAATGTGTCATCTTATAGTTCTATCGCAAAATTTTGTGAGAAAGAAAATGAAGAAATAAAATCACACTTAATAAACTATTACAAATTATTGCGTGAAGCGGCCCAATCAATTTTAAAACTAATATATTTCAATTCTTGCGTGAATTGGCCTAACCAATTTTAAAAGTGCTACATTTTAAAACTTAAACAATTTTAAAACTGCTACATTTAATTTTAATTTACTAAAAGTTCGTCTTAAATTTTGACCTACGAATTCATTGGCAATGGATATTTACATACAACAAATAACAGTGAAAGCCACCCTTTCTCTCGAACCTTCCCCCTTTCTCTCTCTCTAAACTTAGACTCCAAATCGCCACCATGTAGCCTTCTCCGGCGAAGGATCGGATCGGGCCATTGGTCACCAACGACTGCTTTGCCATCCCAGACATCGTGTCTCTCCCAATTCGCTGCAATGGTTGCTTAACTGGGCTCGTCGGACACTTGGTGGAAGCCGCAGGACAAAGTGACATTATCGAGAGATGTGCCGACGGGAGGGGTTCTTCTGCGCCGGGGAGATGGTAGTTCCGCCCCAAATTCCGGTTTTTGCCTTTTCTGGTGCCAGGAAGGAGTGGCGGGCAGCTGTTTTCACCGGAATCTTCGCTACGGCGGTCCTCCGGCGCTCTCTTGAAAGTCGACGGCAGAGTGTGACAGAGCAGGTGAGCCTCGGTCGACGTCTGGTTGATTCCTTATGTGGTTGTCGATTGGCTTCGATTAGTGGGTTCACCGCCTTGTTTCCGTGGTCGGAGCTTGGAGGTTCATGGGCGATTTCAAGATGGGCTTCTGGGTTTGGACTTTTGGGGCTTGAGGTTGAGTTATCATTGGCCGGCGGGGTGTTGAGAGGTGTGTTGGTCGGCGGATGGCAAGGAAATCCGGCGTCCTGTCCTTGGTCGGGGTGCCGGAGTAGGGGAACGGACAACTTCTTCTCTTCCGGTTCTCTGGTGTTGGAACTGGATGGGCCCGGTTGACGGGAGCTGGCCGGTTGTCCTCTCGGTCGAAGGTGGGTTGATTCGGGTTTGTCTCGGGATCCAAGTTTAGCTTCTGTATATGCGTTCGGCAGCAGATTCGGGAGTTGGGCCTAGGATTTCGGATATTTCTTGGATTGACTGTTTCTCTAGTGAATACGATCTGTTTTATTGGCTGGGGAAGGGAGTTTCTTTAATATTTATTTTATCGGTTTTGTGTTATATGTGTTGTGTTGTAATAGGATTTGTGTTTTTGGTTTGGGCCGTTGCCCCTGTGAGCCCGAGTGTCAAACTTATTACTCCGTTGGGGTCCGACATTAGGATATTACCCTGTTGGGGTCCTTGTAGTTGTTCTAGTTGTTTGTGTTGTTGGTTAGTTTAGTTGTGAGTGTGTTTTTTATTCTAGCGTTGCTAGTCGGGATTCTAGGCGGGCTTCTGACCTGTCCTCCCACTTTTTTAGCTGTTGGCTGCTGTATATTCAGCCGTTGGCTGCTGTGTATTCGCACATTTGTACATTTTGATTTATAAAATTATCTATCGTTTGGGGGAAAAAAAGAATTCATTGGCAATGCGTGGGTGACAGGCAATATTGTATATAAGATTAAATTTATTAATTTTTATATATTCTTCTTTTACTTTTTCCATTCTCACGTGCAATATTTAGGGTTTTAATTTTAAAGTGAGGTCCAGCAAGAAAGCCAAGTCTCTCTCCTAAGATTCTCAGACATATTGGGTTCAAAATTTGACTTCCAATTTATGAATCATGATTATGAAAGATTAAGAGTTTAATCATTAGGATATGTCAACATCTGGAATTTAATTTTACTCAACCTGTCCAAATATCAAATCTATATAGCCTACTCAGGTGCGATTCATTACTAACTTATAATAGGCCTAATTATTTCAAGATTAGGAATATAAATCAGTAACAACTGTACCTAATTTATACTTTTTTTTATTGACTTTTATGCCCATGTGGACAAACAATAGGGGTAGGCTAATGTACCTCAATATACATATTGTGTAGAGATGTGAAACGAAGCGAGTCATTCATGAGCTCGAATTGTGAGGTTTGAGCTCAGTTTGGCTCGTCTGATGAAAGCTCAAAAAAAAAATCATTTAATGGAACTATATCGACTCGTTAAAGTTCAAGTTCAGCTTGTTAATGTTGATAAATTAGTCAACTCTGAGTTCATTTATTGACTTGTTTAGTGAACACTTGAATCGAGCTTGAGTTTCATTAGCTTGGGTTCTATTCGTCTCGTTTATACCCCTAATGTTGTGACAATTGACGAAGGCGAAAGAAAAAAAAAAATAGAAAAATTGCAATTGTTGCATTTAACTTGAGGAAGCAGTAAATAATGCTCAGTTGCTCAAATCAGTAGTATTTATATTTATATAATATCAAGGTGTAATGTTCTGTAATTAGGTGCTACTGACATAATATACTTAAATGCACAAATTTTACTAGTCAAAAGTTTTGGAAGAAATATATCACATTAATGCTATGAAATAGAAGGAAAATATATAATTGTTAAGCTACAATCTTAGGGTAGGTAAAATTACACTTCCAAAAGGGTTTTGACTTTAGAAATGTAATAATGTATTTTCATTAAAGCATTTCATTTTTTCTTTTTACCCTACTCTTTTTAATTCCTAAGGAATAAATAGATTTTCTCTTAACTAGAAGGACGAGTCTATTTATAACAATATTAACAAAACGCACATAATAAGAATATTTTAATGTAAAACTCATAATAATAATTTGGACTAACCAAATTGAAGAATCTTACATCAGCATGACGTAAGCATTTCATGGGAAAAACTTGAGAGCCTATAGTATATACTATCAACCGCAAAAACTGGTAAAAACTAAAACATGACCAATTCTTGCACGGCATCCTGTGAATTTCAAACTGATTACTTCAGATTTTTGAGTTCACTGTGTTTTAATTTCAGTTTATGCGAAATAATTGTGGTATGTGAGGAATATTATTACATCTGAGTGTCATAATACAAAAAACATAGGACTATAACTATTATGATTACTACATGGAATGTCATAATATAAAAAGTTTTAGGCATATAAATATTAGATTATTAAATGGAATGTCAAAATAAACAGGGTTGAGAATTGATTACTATATATTTATGGCATGATTAATATGATGGAATGGAATTTCGTAGGAATGGAATGAGTTGAAGAATGAAATGATTATGGGAATGGAATGAAACATGTTTTGTCATTGATGCGTTTGGTATGCAGAAGGAATACGACTGGAATGGGATGCATTATCATTTTTTAATGGGATGCATTATCATTTTTTATTATAAAAATAAATAAAAGCTTTTTTTAAAAATAATATACTTTTAATAAATTATATATAAATGCTTTTTTAATAATATATAAAAATAAAATAATATATTTTTAATAATATATAAAAATAAAATAATATATTGTTTAATAATATAAAAATTAATATATTTTTAATAATATATAAAAATNTTTCAACTCATAGCAAGAGTGATATTCTTTACAATAACTACAGTGAGAGTTTCAATTCCATGATTTTGAGTGCCAGAAAGAAGCCAATTCTTGAACTCTTAGAGCACATCAGGTTAATATTGATGAAGAGACTGCATGAGAGAAGGGATCAAATATTAAAATATGATGGTGATATCTGTCCAAAGATTGTTAATATCTTGGAGGAGCTGAAAAAGAGAGCTTTAGATTTTTTTGCTCATTGGAATGGTGAGGATCAGTTTGAGATAGAGAATGGGATAGGAACCAGGTTCAAGGTTCATTTAACTGAAAAAACTTGTACCTGTAGAAGGTGGGATTTAACTGGTATCCCATGTGTTCATGCAATAAGTGGGATTTTCTACTTGGGGAAGAATCCTGAAGACTTTATGGACAAATGTTACAGTAAGAACTCATTTCTAAGGTCACATTCACATATTATGAAAGTCATTAATGACTCTGAAATGTGGGCAGAGGTGGATGTGCAACCTCTTGTCCCACCTGTGACTGAGAAGATGCCTGGAAGACCAAGAAAACATAATAGAAGGAAAGATCCAGATGAAGGTAAAAGAGATTCTGGGAGGCCATCACAAGGTGGAAGACCACTTACCTTAGGGAAAAAGGGAGTGAAGATGACATGCTCATATTGTGGACAGAAGAACCACAATGTCAAAGGTTGCCCTTCTAAGAAGAATCAGACATTGGATGAAAACAGCCAAAAGGTATTTTCATTTATGTACTACTTATGCATTCATACTTTGAAGATATTCTAACATCAATTTATTATATGTTTAGGCAAATGAAAAAGATGAGCAAGGAGGGGTCAACCAAATGAACAATGACCCAAATGGGCCCTCACAAGCATCTGCCTCAGTGGGCCCTGAGCAAATGGAGCCTGCCTCAGTGGGCCTTAACCAAATGGAGCCTGCCTCAGTGGACCCTGACCAAATGGAGCCTGCCTCAGTGGGCCCTGAGCAAATGGGCACTCAGGAGATGAGCTCTGAGCAAATGGGCCCTGAGCAAATGGGCCTTGACCAAATGGGCTCTCAGCAGATGGACAATGACCCAGACTTGGAAGATATTTATTCAGTCATTGATAAATTTGATGCTTTTGATGCATCACTGCCCAACAATGAACAACCACTTGCAAGGGTATGTTTGACTTTTCACAGTACATTTTAAATGTTGGAAACCCTAAATATTGACTAACTAATAAATTGTGCAGCCTCCTCAAAGTAAAAGAAGAAACAACTCTCCTCAGAGAGCAAGAAGCAAGACCTCAAAGAAACAGAATGCAATGAAGACTACTGAAACTCAAGTGAGAACCACAAGGTCTGCCAACACCTCAATTGAGAAGTCACCGGCCCTTACCAAGAAGACAAGAGAAGTCTCAACAAAAAAAAAGTTGGCCAAAAGCATCACAGTGTCAGGACCAACCACAAGATCCAAGAAGAACATCAATTCCACTTCAACTACCAATTCCATGGGTAGTAAGGTAACTGGATATATTACATGTAGATAAAATAGAGTATTTCTTCACTACTTTTAAGTTCTTATTGATTTTCTAATTAATTTGTTCTTCTAGTCAATTGATAAGGTCACAGGTATTGAGAAAATTGTGCACACACAGAACTCTCAAACCACCAAGGATGTTCACAGCACAAAAAAAACTTTAGGTCTGAAAAGGAAGTTGGATGTAAGTATTTGGATGCTTTATTGGTTAAATTTTTTTTGCACATATTTATTTTAAGTTGTACTTCAAATCTTGACAATTGTAATTACTGCCAGGTGAGAAAGATGTCAAAATCTCAAGGTCAAACATCCACTGCTGCTCCTGAGGTTGACAGACCCCCATGGAGACCACCTGGGAGGTTACTCAGAGATGGTGATGGTGTAAGCTTCTCAAGAATGTTTGGTGCAGGATTCATGATAAGTGGAGGAGGGATTGTAAACAAGACAGACCCATCTGTGGTCAGGAGTGAAGAAATTGTCAGAGGTGATGAAGAAGCCCCAAATTGTAAACAACAGTAGACTAGGCTTGTTCTTAATTTGTGGCTCTGAACTAGATAGATCATGCTTTGTTGGTTTGGTTTCTGAAAACATGATTTGTTTTGTGTTGTTGATATGTCTAGGAGAAACATGATTTGTTTTGGGTCTTTTGAACATGTTTTGTTGACTTGGTTGCTGTGAACATGATTTTTTAGGATACTATGGTTGTTTTTGGGATGTGGGGAATGTATGATCCAGACCATGTATGATTCTTGTTGGATATTTAAGTGTTAGTATATCTTGGTTGGAAATTTAAGTGTTACTTTATTTTGGTTGTTTATTGATCCCTAATGGCACCAACAATGTGCACAAACTAATCAGAAAAACAGCAGGGCTTTGAAACATAGTCCATTGCATTCATGAATTGACCAATACACCATAAACATTACATTGTCCACAAAATAAAAGAGATGCTTCCATTGCATTCACAAAACAGACACATCCATTGCATTGACAAAATGGCCAACTACAAGATTGCACACCCATTACACTTAAAGTACATCTATTTCATCTTGTTTCAGTCAATACTCAAGCACACCCATTACACTTGATTATGCACAGAACAATCAAACCAACAATTGCCAACATGAGCCTCTCCCATTTCTTCCTTCTTGCAATTTCTTCTTCCAATTTCTTGGCCCGTTTCAGAAGCATAGGAATGAGTTGTTGTGCTCTATAACACATTGGAGGATCAACCCACACATGGTATGTGCACCCACCCAACATCTGGAATTCGAAAAAAGGAAAAAAAAAAATTGATATGAGTTGACAAACATAAATGTCGAAAAAAGATGGGAAATTAAACTAGCATATTCAATTAAACTAACAAATTGAAATCGAGAGAAGAAATTGAATGACACTCACCCGAAATTTCTCGCAGGCCGAGTACCTCCGCCCCGCATTACCATCAGCCCATGACGTCTTTCGCACAGTAGGCATCCAACAGCGACAGAAATCATCGATTAGCTCCTCGGAGATTTGCCTGAACATTACTTTGGTTCGAAATTGAAAACCCTAGCTAGACCAAAAGAGGGGAAAATTGGATAATTTTGAGAAAATTCTGCTCGTAAATGACCAGTAGATGAGTATTTATATGGGGCTCAAAACCAGTTTCAAACAGGTCAAATCAGAATTAAATCTGGTCTGGGGGGTAAATTGAAAAACCCGTGTAGTTTAGATAGCGATTTGCAAAAAAAAAAAAAGTTCATATGGTGATGCGCCAAAAACATGAAATTTCAGATGACAAAAAGTTATTAACCCATATTTATATAAACATATAAGAAATATTGATTGGTGTGCTTATATTGAACGTGCTCATTAGCTGCATAGATGATGAAGCCGATGTTAGCAGGCAAAATTGGCAGTCACGTTTGATCAATTAAAAAGACTTACATAATTTTATTGACAAGCGCCATAATTTTAAATAATATAAACAAAAATATAATATTTCACGTAAGTATTGTTCAAAAATAATTTGTGCCCGCCTCGTCTGAGTGACTACGCGAATCCTTGCTCACAATAGAATTTGTGATTGAAAATTTAGATTATTTAATTCCAATGTGTCTTTTAAGTTCCACACGAGTTAGAAGCGACCAAAATAAATAAAATTCCCAGCACCTTTTAATCAGCAAATTCATTGAATTTATTGACAAAGATTAACAAATAACATTTTGAATTCTTTATGCAATTATATTGGTTTTAATCTGGTCGCATTGCTACCATGCTGCTCTGTATAGTACAAGGTCATAGTTAGGATTCAAAGCACACGTGACACAATTAGGTAAATGTCTAAACTCTCCACGTCAAATGAAATTTATTAAATTCTAATTCCGTGCTTACTTTAGTGTAACTCAATCAACTGCCATGTTTTTTTGTCTTCTTGTTTATATCTCAGCAACAGTGTACGAGCCGATGTGGCGATATCGCACTAAATCAACTGCCAGTATCTTTATATCTCAGGAATAGATTATAAACAAGGTGAACCGACCACAATTGGGGAGCTTAAACTCATCTCATTCATCAAACTAAGCTTAAACTCAACTAATTTATCAAAGTGAACAAACCAATCTCAAATCTTAACGAGTCAAATTAACTTACAAATCTTAACGAGTCAAATTAACTTAATAGATTAAAAAATTACATAGACTCTATTCTCAAGCAAGCCAAGTGTTCAAGCCGAACTCCAAACTGAGATTAAAAAATTACATAGACTCTATTCTCAAGCAAGCCAACTCCAAACTGAGATTAAAAAATTACACAGACTCTATTCTCAAGCAAGCCAAGAGTTCAAGCCGAACTCCAAACTAGCCAACAAGCGACTCAATTCATTTAATAGCTGATTTAAAAATAATACTCATATTGTTCAACAAAATTTTACTGTGCTATTTTACCTTCCACATATGTTTCTAAATAAGAGAAGAAAAAAGATTTTCCTTACCAAAATTTTAATCAAGTACAAAAATAACCGTGAAGCGTTCATCATATTCACTGACAAAAATGAGCCACCGAATGCAAATTTCACAACACAAAAAACAGTAGAAATGCAACACCAAAGACATCCATCTCAATGCCTACATAAAGCATCATCATTAAACACGAAGTAATAATAATCTTAAACTATAAAACCCCAGTGCATTTGATAAGATCACTAAAAACCACATAATCAAGGAAAAATAAACCCTCATCCCGATTTTTAAACCAAGTTCACAACTTTCGACAAATTTGTTCTCCAATTGAATACATCATGACAGATCCTGCAAAGGATCTGCTTTCTTTCCAGACCTTGCATCAGTCCACGCTTTAGCAATTGTTCTTTTCATATCTTCATCACCTTCTTCATACATATTCTGCAAAACAAATTTTCGTTGATAAATAAACCATTACAAACAAAAAAAGAAGTCACGTAAAACAGAAAGAGAAATGAAAAACAAGTCGATCATTATGTTGCTTAAACTGTATAATACCTTCATCAGGTCCATTATTCCAGCCATCGGGTCCCGCTCTTTATCCAAATTCGGCTTCATCTGTAAAAAAAAAATTTATAAATTGCACATTACAACCTGCTTCATAGTACTACATAATGGGTTTGATTGGATATAAATATCGATTGGTTTTTTTGGTTAACCATAGTTAATTCTAAAAAAAGGTTGGTTGGGTTAGTTTTGGGTGAGATTTCTTGAGTTTGTATTAAATAATATTTAAAATAAAATAATTAAAGTTGATTTAATTTAAAAGTATGAGAGGGGTAATTGAAAGTGATGAGTAATTAAAATTATATGAGTTGATAAATAGTGAATTAAATTTAATGATTGATTGATATTATTTTGTTGTACTGATAATATTGAGAATAATTGGGGTTGAGTTAAATTTGAGTTCAGATAATTCGTTACCTTATCTTCTTTGAAGTGCAAATCCAACCAGTTCCCTTTAGAAGCTTTGACTAGAGTGATTACCACTCTCTTAGGCTTCACGATGAACTTGCATTTCTCAGGCACAATCTCTTTGTTCAGCTTAGGCACAGCACATCTGTAATTCTTTCCTTGGACATCATGGAATTTGATATCGAACGACATAGGCTTGAAGTCAGCCTCAATCTTTTCCCGATCAACCCCTTCAAGTGATACATAAATCTGCAAAAAAAAAAAAAAAAAAAAATCCAATCACGGTTAGGACTTTACCGAGTTGAGGTGAATACATATTCAAAAAAGTCATAACACGAAATCACTAGATATGACAAAATCCTCACCTTCAGATGATCGGTATCTTGATCCCAGCTGAAGGAGCTAAGAGAGGTATAGATCAACAACGTTTTTTGTGCTGTTGATATTGGATTTGGTGTGCTGCTGGTTGGTACCGAAATAACCTCTTTCGATAGCTGGGAAAGAATGATTGCGAAAATTGATCAATTTAGAAACATTCCGCACGAGTAGGGCTGTTATCGAACCAAACGGTTCGCGAACTCCGTTGGGTTTGATAACAACTCGTTAGATAGTAATCGATCCAAATTCGAACATGAAATATGCTCGTTTAGTTATCGAACGAAAAACAAAAAGGTATTTATATAATAAAATATATGAACATAGATATATATTAAATATTAAATAAATATCATAGTATGGTATTAAAACAAAATAAAAAGTCAACAAATACGAACACAAACTTTTCAAACTTCATGAACAAGTTCGACTATATAAACAAACGAAGTATTTTTCGTTCAACCAATAGAGGAACGAACAGAAACAATTTTTTTGTTCGAAAACTAGTCGAACTCGAGCTCGAAAACCTTAAGCTCCGTTCGGTTCGATAACAACCCTACGCATGAGTTCCAACAAAAGCTTGGTTACAGAAAGGATAAAGAAAATGAATCCCTCTAAAACATGTTTTAACTATAAGGCATGTGAATAAATGTTAATAGCTGAGCGGTGATGACTAAAGTGCAGCACATTTTCTGTAACTTATTTAAATTTTAAACACACGGGTCATTTTCTTTTCACTCAAATCACATATGCTTTGATAAGCAACCACAACATGATTGGGACTCTCTGAAACATGACCGATGGCTGTGTTCACTATATGCTATAAATATAGAACAGTCAATAATCCAATCCACAAATTCATCCAATAAAATTTCACTAGAAATCACGCATTATTTAAATCTCATGCAAATTTAATGATACATTCGAGGTAGTTTTGCAGTAAATTTATAGAATTGCACAATACTCTTATACCTTTAAACATGCTTTCATGTTCATAAATCCTCGTAAAACATAGAAAGCAAATTCCTTAGGAATCCTAAATCAATTACACGCTAGTCATATCCTAAAAGATTTAACAAATTGATTTTCCCTATAAGGGTGACAATTGTTGAAACGAAAATTTTAGTTAAATTTGAAGATATTATCATATTTATGATCAGACACGTATATAACACGAAAATAAACATAATGAAACACAAACATGACACTGTTAACACGATTTACCACCCGCAATTTTCCCAGAGCAGAACTTCTTGCCAGATTGAATGAAATTGTGTTACTACACCTTCATAATTAAAAATCCTTTCACTAGTCTTGTTGGGCAGATCGAATTAAAGCACCAGTCATTCAATACAATTTATACAGAACTTTATCAAAATACTTTACTCAAATCATAAACTAACAAATGTACCACCTCACAAAGTGAAACAATGAAGAAATCTGGCAGAAAAAACTAAACTGCATCCATCATTCTCATAAACAGCATAGCCACAAAACACGATAACTAGAGTCATTAAGCTCAGCCATTACTCTTTCAAACTCTACGGCACCTTCACATTGAACAATAAATTTTTCGCAGCGAATGAGTTTTTCTTTTTCCATAACTCCAAAACCAAAACTGAACACATACACATAACACATATTGCTTGCTAATGCATCTCAAATCCACAAAATACAAAAGAAATTAAACAACGAAGTGACGAACAAACAGAGGAAAAGCAAACAGCTAGAAAAGAGAAAAGTACTTTTTCCAGGTTGCGAATCTCGGAGGAAATTAGAGATACAACGCGCGGCCTCTTTGCGATGCTTTGGAGACGCTTCAATTCCTCTAAGTCCAGCGCCAAATCTTCACTGTCCGCCATTTTTTTATCTGATTTCACTGCTGAAATTTGTACTATCGTGCTAAAGTGAATGCTGATTTCCAGAAAAGCTACTGATTAATAGTCGGATAAAGGGAAATTGCTAGAACCCTCCCGATGTAATTTTTTACTTTTTTAGTACACACATTTCCATCTTCATATAAAAAAAGATATAATAATAATAATAATCGGAAGATTCTAGAGATACATGGAAGATCCGAAAATCGAAAGGGGCCATTTGTAAATTACAGTGAGTGGATTTGATTATTGGGTCGTAAGCCTTACTAGGTGTATTTTCTATATTGGGCCTTATGTTTTGAGTAGTGATTGTTTAAATTTTCTAGTTAGTGGCCCAGTATAAATTGGGGCCAACTGATTTTTTTAATAACATTGACTTGAAAATAATTTTCTTTGATAGTCTATAAGTTAAAAACATTTTAAATAAAATATAAATTGAAAATGTCAAACAAAAAAGGTGTAGGAACTATAAAACATAAATTGACTAAGTTTTGAAGATATATGTTTTGTGCATGAAGGTGTTGAATATTGCTCGGTGTTCAAATCAGCATAACAGATTATTGAGACATTTGTACATTAATAATTTTTTTGTACCTATTGATTTTTTAGTTAATCTATGGAACCAATATTTTACTTATGTATATAAAGTTCACTATAATGGGACTCAGGATCTAGAAATTTTAGTCAGGGGGTCCAATTTTAAATGTTAAATAACGAACTTGTAGTTTAAGTCGAAATGCTAATTTAATATAAAAATGTGTTTATATAAATATAAATATTGATATGTGTACCATTAAGTTTTTACAAACTTATAATCGGTATCACCCTCAGAATTAAAAAAAAAAAATCATGTATTTATAATTTAAGTTCAACATCTATAATTTATGAAAAATAAGTTTATGGTTGAAAATTTGATTTAAATTAAACATTTACAGCACATTGCATAACATTTTTGTTGATGTGTGTTTATCAAATGACTATTTTTTTAAAGAAAAAACAAATCTAAAAATATGTGATTACACAAAAAAAGTTAAAAGCTACATCAAAAAATCTACCAATCCAATCAATTACTCATTTTTATAAATTACTAAATGGACTTATAATTAAGAGGCCGAAAGATTATAAATATTTTCAAAAAGTTGTCTAAAAATGTAAAATATAAGATTGTTAGGGTATTTTCCAACAAATATATAATATTATTAATTTAAATTAAAATAGCATAAAAACTAATTTTTAATTGTTTATATGTATATATATAATGATTTTTTGAAAAAAATCAAGGGGGTCCACGGCCCCCTGGACCTATCTAAATCCGTCATTGATGGGACTAATAGAGTTTAACATAATGATTTATTTTTAAATATATTGATTTAATTATTTATGCATGATAGTGTTATATGATAAATTTTATTTATCTGTTTGGATAGGATTACAACCCTAGTCGATCAATGCTAACAGTTCCATGAATTTGTTTTTTGCTTGAAAAGAAAAAAGAAAAAAAGATAGAAAAATGGAAATTTTTTGGAAAGCTTGATAGATGATAAATCCGTAATTATGATGCTAATTTATCGCCACATCAACTTGGTTTCTATTCTTGGTAAGTCTACAGTCTGCACTTGTCGGGACACTTCTCGCGCTGTGATGATATTTTATTTTATTTTATTTATTTATTTTTGTAGAAAAATTCATTTACATTTACGGGCGTCTCTAAATTAAAGTTTACCTAATACAATATAACATATAAGTAACACTTGAATTGGCTTATCAGCTTTAGCCACACCCAATTTATAACTTACACTAATCAACCATCTGAGAACCATCTGATTATCAAATAAAGCAGCTGTACTCTGTTTTGTATCCACTCGAAATTTATACATAAAACATCTGTTAGATTAAAGAAAACGTGGCTTTACACCGGTTTTTTTCTCAAATCATGCGATTTAAAGGCGCTATTGACTAGGAAAGATATCTGCATTGATTTAAATATTCAATGAGTTGATCCTTGTAATATTATAGCTACGCGTGAGTCGTGACCTGAAGTTCAAAAGCTCCGGGAAGTCCCGTAGCAAATTCGTGTGTACCGTCTGTATAAATTATAAAGTACTGTAAATAATATATATATATATATATATATATATAAATTTAAAATTATAAAATAGATTGTAAATGAATAGTATAAATATAAATTTTATACAATTACACATAAATTACTATATTGATTGTGTAAAATGTAATAGATAATACTTTTTAAATTTTGAAAAATTATGACTAATTAATTATCTAAAAAAATATAGAATAAAATAGTAATAAATTTGTTAGAATATTGTTTCACATCGTCTGGACAGGGAAAATAGGACTAATTTATAAGTCTACTGGACTACTCCTCCTACCAGTTTTGGGATGGAACCTCACTTGGGCTTTATTTGGGCTTCCCTGATTTGGTACGCTTCGCCCGTGGGACTGCACCCGTCAACCCCCATTTGTCAAAATTATTATTATTATTATTATTTAAGAGGTTAATTTGGCTATGCCAATAAAATTAATTAGCTGATTTCCTAACATAATCACTTAAGTGAGATGCGAAAAAAGAAAGATAATATTAATTTTAAAATAAATAGCTTGAAAACAAAAATACAATAATTATTTTATTATGATTATGTAACTTGTATACAAATTTGTTTGAATTATAATTATAGTTGATATTATTATAAAATGTAACGGCTTTACTATATATATATATAATTAATTAAAATAGTGAGCGAAATTTATTAATTTTCAAATCATATAAGAGATACTATCCATGTTACATTTTCCTATAAAGTTAGATTAAACTTCTTAAAGTTAGGCTATAATATCAAATATTTTATGAGGATGTGCCACAATCAATCATTCTGAATAAAACAAAAATATTAGAGTTAGGTGAACAATTGTTGAAATAAGTTTGATAGGGAATAATAAGATACCCTAATAAATATAACAATTGACATAAATTATAAAGTTGATATGATTATATAACCACAAGATTCTTGTGTGGCTATTATGTCCAACTTTATCTCATCGATTATGTTTTTGCAGTATGATCCTTAAATTTTGTACTAACTTCAAAAGACAAATGAAATCACTAGAGTTGGCAATTTTTATGTCTAAGTATTGTATAACTCAAGACCAGCCGATGCATTTTCTAACACGATCATCTATTCAACTAACAATAACAAGATGACCTAACGATATAAAATCAGCCAAAAAATTCGCAAAAATTCGCTCGGATTTTCGAAGAAGAAAAAAGGGAAGGTGATGGGGCTAAGTCTCCAACTTTGGCCTGCATGTGTATGTTTCCCCTTTGTACATTAGCACATGCTTATATACGTGTAAATGGGGCCCCTCTTTGTATGTTCTTTCCANACGTTTTTTAATCCGAGAAGGAGAGCTCGTGTTACGTCATCAAACTGCAAATCCACCAAGCTAAAGCTAACACAATTAGGCATTTATTATAATTTAGTTATGGTGTTAGTTATTGGGCTTCATGTGCGCCATTAGAGAGCTGACACCACCTTAATTCCAAATTGGGAAAGTGTCTACGTGTGTATGTGAATCTTTACTTATTTTTACTTTTACTTTTGTTTTTTAATGACTAAGGGATAGACGTGTTGAACAGGTCGAACTGGCCCGATCAAAACCGTCGGATGCGGGCCTTGAACCGGATCGTGGTTTTACCCAGACTAGTTCAAGTGCTTTTCGAGAAAATGGAACGGTCGATTACGGTTCCAAATCGGAACTGACAATGCAACACTGAAATTTTAATTTTTTTTTAATTATTATTTTTAATTTCTCGAACCGGTCCTGAGTCATTGGTCAGGTTCTGAGCAGGGATCGCCGGTTCATTGAACCGACTCTTAGTCTTTCCAGGATCGGTTTCAGTTCACCAAAATGACGAATTTAGACCGGCAGTTTCTAACCGAAATCGGTTTGAATCCAGGTTTACGTCTATCTAGGGAAGGTAGGTGAGGAGTGTGTGGAGAGATATCATCGAATGACTCAAAATTTAAAATGCGATCGACAATAAGTATTTATGATCTTCAGTTTTATTACTCGAACACAAATTCATATTAGGTAGAGCTATGCATACTTGGTTATGCAATGAAATGCTATATTTTTGTTTATGTTATTATCTAGAATATGATATTTTATTTTGAAAGTTTATATATAAAGCTGAAAAAAACACGTATCTAACAACAGACTTACTATTACGTACGTAAATTGTATAAGATTGCACAATGCAGTGTCGTCTAAGCGTTAGGTCTATCTAACAGCAGACTTGCTATTACATAAACGTAGAGATGTTAAACGGGCTAGCCCTAGCGGGCTTCGGGCTAAACGGTCCGGGCCGAAAAAGCCCAGATTTAAACGGACTACCAATAAAAGGTCCTAATCCTGTTTTTTTTTTTGGGCTAAACGGGCCGGCCCATCGGGCCAAAGATCATTTAACATCTCTACATAAACGGTATAGAATTGCACATTGCAGTGTTCCCTTTGAAAATAGTATCTAACATTAGCATTGAAGACTTTGTTTCTATTTTTTCTTCACATCTTTCGAAGCAATATATACCAAATAAAATGGCATTTGCCGACTAGTCTTGAGTGTGAGATACGGGCCGGAATTAAAGCCGGCCGCCCATTGTGGCCTGTGAAAGAAATAATAGAAAAATGAAAAGAGGTGAAAAGCTTTAACCTTTGGCCATTAAACTAACATTATCTCCAATTTATCTATCCCTTACCTTTATTAGTAATGTTTAGATAAAATACACTCATTAGTGTATAAACAAGTTGATGAAGGATAGAAAGCACAGCACTAAAGGCAACTTCTTAAGAATACATATTTACATATATCTGCAACAACACTCGTGGAAATCCACGTCTAAGAGTTGCCACCTTTATTTGCAGCCTTTGAAGAAAATTTTCATTCTTCTGAATTTTCATGTGAGACAGTTTAACCGTTAGGCAGTTCGACACGCCATACTTTTTTAACAAAAATGTATACATTTATGAAATGAGATAATTTTGTTGAAGTTGTTTTCAGAGCATAACGTTTTTGTTTGACATGCCAGACCGAAAAAAGTTCAATTTCTGGAGTAAAAAAGCAGAAATATACGGAAAAGCAACAGAAATAAATGGCT